CTAGTTCAAACTGCTGATAAGCGTGCGCGAGATCCAAGGTTGAGAAATACATGCTGGTACCGAGCTGCACGCAAACCTCATTACTTTTCGGGATCGGGTGTTTTTCAGCCGAAATACTGCAATTGACAGTAATTTTATTGTCCCAACATTTGCGAATCTATCCATCAGGCTTGAGTACGGGAACATTTGGTGTAGCCCAGTCCAAATATTGTACTGGCTCTATGACGCCAATCTGCAGGCGATCAAGTTCCTCTTCTACCTCCGATCGCATCAGTTACGACAGCGATCGTGCCTTGATGAATCGCGGTTGGGTGCCAGGTGGAATGTAGATATTTACTTAACCCCGGTGAATTTTCCTTCCTTCGGCGTCTCAAATACTGGTGCATATTGCTGGAACAATGTTTATATCTCCGATGATAAGGAAAGATGGTTTATCTGCAGAACTGGTAGTTGACTGATCCGGTCGCGGCGCAGTAGGTGTGGACCATCTCCGAGTGCAAATGGTTCCTCGGGTTGCTGATCCTCCATTTGACACCTCAACATCCTGCACCCCAAACAGTTTCACTTCACCGCCCGTATATGTATGCAATCGCAGAGCCGCCCGACATAGTTTGGTGTGGCTCGATATAGCCAATTTCTGTGACCACGTTCGTTCGTTGCACAGCGTTATTGCACTGCCCGTGCCAATGTCGAAATGCACCGGAATCTGGTTAACACAAAGCTGCACGTGAAATGGCGGCTGTGCACTTGGGGCAGTTGTGTTTAATGCATATTCTTATAGTTCAATAGCAACAGTTTAGTTGTTTACTACTGGGGAACATGGGTTTGTACTGGACCGGCACATACGGGCCAAGCGTTCACGTGTCTGGCATTTGTTACAGACTGTGTATGCTTGCATTCTCTGGGATGACTGCAGCAAGCCGCAGCGATAGTGGTTGAACGAGTGCGCGGTGTTTTACTCAACTTTGTTGACTTCGGCCGTGACCTCTTCAGCACATGGCTTTGAATTGAGCTGTAAAACCTGCATACGCTGGGCATTAATTTCAGCAGCCTCCATGCCCCTTCGCAACGTTATAGGTACTTTCCAACGTTATTGCCTTAACAGCCAACAGGCAGTGCTGAATGCGAACGTTTTTCCCGCCGATCACCAGACGATCCCGGATCATGTCGTTTCGGTAGTTACCGAAATCACAATATTCTGTCAACTTCCGAACCTCGGCAACGAAGGAAGCAACTGACTCCATCTCACCCTGGATTCGGGTATTGCATTTAAATCGCTTCACAATAACTGATGGTTTTGGATTATAGTGATTGGAAACCAGTGTGACCAGTTCAGTAACTTGTTTGGTGTATGGCCAATCGGGAGTCAACAAGCTGCGGGTTAACTCGTATGCTTTTGAGCCATCAATACTCAGTAGGATATTCACTTTACAGTTATTGCTGACGATTTCATTAGCAGCGAAAAAGCTGTTCATAAGCTCGATGTAATGGTTCCAGGAACCGGATCATTCTGTGTACTCCACCAATTTTCCGATGGATGCCATGGCTTCGATAAACCGTCGCCAGTATTGTAAGTATGAACACGGACCAGCAAAGGATACGGCTGTAATGCGTACACACGAGCAAGTCACTGGTTCGCTTGATATAAATATGGTTGGTGGTATCCGGTTCCGGATTTGCCTGTCACTGCGGCCAGCGACAGGACGCCTGCGCCTTCAGAGGGACCATGATTGACTTGCGACGCATCACCCACAGTTCCATCCACATACCCTATATCCAGTTTAAGCCCGAAGGAATAAGACCGGGGAGCATATGGATGGGGGACATGTTTTATCAACGGAGCCGGCCCACACGCCTTCACAGGCAAACATAAACACGCTGTATTTGGGAATCAAGCGCACATAATGCGGTGGCTGGACCGTAGTCCGCTCCACACTGAGTGCATGGAACCACTCTTCGAGCCTGACACGGCCACAGGGACCTTGCACCCCGTCCCCTCCAGTAACGACCAACTGTTTCCTGGAGCCAATATGGACGAGGTAGTGGGTAATAGACAGGTAGGCTCCTTGTCAGCATGCACACCTAGTGCAGCCACACGGGGGATATCAAGCCACAGCCAATCATTTGAAACGACAAGGTGAAATAAAATAAATCGGATAATGCATGCAGATACGGTTGGCTTAACTCCTCACTAAATGAGCGTATAAAATATATTGGTTAGAAAGAATCCGCGTTAAGTTCAAGACGTCAAAAAATATTTTAAGGAAATGCCACAAGCATGAAAATGTTATCGCAATTAACTACCATTAGCTTACGTGACGTGTACAAGTTTATAGAAGATAGTACAGGTAGACAATAATATGAGAAGGAAAATCATTAGGACGAAATTGAAACCTACCACCTGAAATAACGGGACTTAGCATGCAAGCACGCGTTTGGTACATCTAATGCAGCGTACCTACAAACACGCTGGTTCTGTCTACGTTCTCTGCTGGACACATCGTCACTTCGGTGGTTGTCCCGTTTCTCTCGTGGTTCACTATGCTTGCCTGAGTCAGGCACTCGCGACCGCATGTGCTACAGCACCATGCGCTCGATGTCGATGGGGAACAACCCATCGGCGCCTGCCGCTTCCGCACTTGCCGCTTCTTCCCTGAATGCATGAGGTCTTTCTCCCGCACTTCGACGACTGCCTTCGTGATCAAATCGCACCATACACGCCGATCAACCGTCTTCGATTCCCATGACCTGCAATCAAGATTAGAACGTGAGAGGCTCACTTTGATCATGTCCTGGTAACGTAACTTTGGTTTCCGCACATGCCGCTTCCCAATACTCAGCTGATTATATAATATTTGTTTCGGTATCCGCATCGAATCCCATGGCCGAGCCACCACAGTTATCTCAGCAAAATTATGCAGTCCACTGCATACATTCCACTTCGACGCAACACTGTCGCCCTATCCGATGCGTAGAATCCGTCGCAAACACTGCTGATGGAACCGCTCGAGATATCGCTCATCCCGACTGTACATCGTCCACGTTTCACTGCCGTATAGAAGAACGGATAGCACCATGGATTTGTACACCATCAGCTTCGTGCCCATGGTAAGCTGATGGTTGTTCCACACTCGGAACTCTAGCTTCCCGAATGCCGCCGCTGCCTTCGACACGCGGATACGCAGCTCACTGTGTAGCTGCTGATCAGTCGACATCACACTCCCAAGGTAGCAGAAGCGGGATGTGTTTCCAATACTTCAGCACCAATGCTGATTCGCGGCAGTATTGAAGATTGCACCTCCGATGGTGGCGGAAAGAGACAGACAGTTTTGCTTGTGTTGATGGTGAGCCCGAATTTGGCCGCTGTCGAAGCTAGAGCACTTGTCATGTGCTGCAACTCATCCGCGCCGTGTGCAAACAACGCATAATCGTCAGCGAACAGCAACATCCGGATAGTTGTCTCATAGACTAGTTCTTGCACCTAAACGGTGGATGTTCAGCAACCCACCATCAATACGGTGCTCCACACGAACACCGTAACCACAAGCGGCATCAAAAGCACAAGACATCATTGCATGAATATGTATATTAAACAGTTCAGGAGCTAACACACAGCCTTGTTTCACACCATTGACAACTGCAAAGTAATCGAGGTCACTCCACTCAACTGCACCCTCGCCCGCATACCACTATGCAGACATTCAATTAAACTTACAAACTTTCGCGCGCAGTCAAACTTACCCAACACCGGCCACAATGCCTCGCGGTTCACCGTATCAAATGCCTAGGTGAAATTAACGAAAAGCGCGTACAGTGGCTGGTGTCGTTCTCTGCACTTCTCCTGCAACTGATGAGCCGCAAACACCATATCTATAGTGCTGCGACCCGACCGGAATCCACACTGGTCTTCCGCCACGTTAGGTTTGACAACCTGACTGATGAGGCGGTTGAGCAGGAATCGGACAATCACCTTGCTCACACAGCTTAACAAATTTATGTCACGAAAATTCGTGCAATCTTGGTTGCTTTCTTTGCCCTTGTACAGTGGTAGCACAAGGGCATTCTTCAACTCAGGAGGCGCCTCCTCCTCATTCCATACGGGTTGCACCAAATGGTGCAGCGCAATCACCAACGCGGGTCCGCCGTGTTTCAATAGTTCAGGCGGGATGCCGTCGGCCCAGGCACACTTGCCGTTTCGCATCTGAACAAGTGTTCTCTGCGTCTCATCCAGTGAAGGCGTGTCCGCCAGACTCGCCTTCACATCGTGCTGCTTGAGGCCGTTCAAAGTAGGCCAGTCGATTTCGGATCGGTTGTTCAAGAGGTATTCAAAATGTTTTCACCAGTGCTGCATTATGGCTGCAGTCTGTGTGCAGGTAACGCCTTAACTACCATCGATCAGTGTCCTTAACGGCTCCAGTCTCGGTCCATACACCGCCTTCAAGTAGTCAAAGGAATCATTGTGTTGGTGGCGTTCGGCGTAGCATTCCATCTGCTGCGCCTTCTCTGTCCAGCATACATTTTTAATGTGACGGAGCTCTCGGGTCAGTCGCCGTCGAAGTTTGCGAAACTGACTATTCTTGCTCAGGTCAATGAGGTCTGCCACATGTGCAACGAAGGCTGCATTCTTCTCTGACACCAATGCTCCAATCGTCGCATTGTTCTCATCAAACCAATCAGGCCGCTTACAGTTTGCGCGTCCGATGGTCTCCTCGGCAGCAGCTGCCACCTGGTCGCGAATGTGGTGCCACAGGTCGTCCACTGTGGCTTTGCATTCCCCATCACACAGGCGTGCAGCGATCGCCTTCTCCAGCTCCATACGTTTCTCCACAGTACCCAGGAAGTGAATGTTAAATTTTCGCCACTTCACGGTGGGAGTGCAGCATGTTAATTTGCATGATAACATAGACATTTATTCACCCCTACGACTCACATGCATGGCCTGACAGACTGTGGCTCGTGATTACCAATCACAACAATGCGCCTTACTTTTTCCTATTCAGGACTGCGCCCATACACATGTGAACAGTGTGGTAAATCGTTTCCTGAAAAACGCAATATTCAAGCGCATATCAGATCTGTCCATTCGAGTGAGTGTTTTATTTACATTATTACGTATGTTTAACTTTGCCGCTTGCGTTGCACCATCGTTAGTGATGTCACGTAGCTTCACTTTATCCAACCAAATTGCTTGCAACAGCTTCTTGTTTTATTGTTCGCACGGCTCATTCGTGCGATTCCGGTGTCTTGGTTTCCAAATCAGCCTTCGTACGTAAAATGGCTCCTTGTTGGTCTGTAATTGATTTCAAACTTCAGTCGCCGTGCCCGCAGTCGTGGTGATGCGCTTCTCAGTAGTTCGCAATCCAGTTTGTGACTGCTTGTGTCATCCCATCCCCACAACTGTCACTCCAAGCAGGCCAACACTGATTCTCACTGCGAGTTCTTACGCTGGTTCAGCGGTGAAAACGACTACCGACTATTTCAGCTTTTCTGATGATAGTCCGATTTCGTCTCTGTCTGGATCCTAGGAAGACACGCAACTGTTAACAATTAATATTTCATCACTTCAAGTACGGTTCTTGTAGCTCTGTTCGTCATGGATTCGGTGTTAAGAATTTGTTGCATAGCAGTGTAGGACACGCTTGTCTGTAATTTTAACGGCCGAATTCAGCTTCCCCAGTAGTTGTCGGTGATATCCATCTGCTAGTCTGACTACGCGGACAGCCACAAGGCGCCTCCACCTGTACATGAATTCAAGTGACTCTCGCTTCCTCACGAACTGTTCCATTCATGCCATGCAATTTCGTTCTATGTTAACGGGTGTCATCTGCATGTGAGTTTCGATTGCTTGGAAGCTGGCCTGTGGTGATCCTAGATACACGCCCTTGAGGATTCCACCGTGCGTACGTGCAGAGGTCAAGGGCTTGGCCCCTGGCAGATGCAATAACAAAGCTGGCCCATTGGCACAGTTTGCTAAGGAACATCGGCTTTATCACGAATATAAAGGCAAACATTTAACAGTGAATCAAAGGATAATTTATATAAACAAAAGCGCGTAGCGGTGGACCTGCGGCAACCTTTGTGTCCACACCCATTGCTTCGTTTGCCCCGTGTCCCAGTAACTTTGGGTCAAATCACGTAGTAGTAGTAGTAGTAGTAGTAGTAGTAGTAGTAGTAGTAGTAGTAGTAGTAGTAGTAGTAGTAGTAGTAGTAGTAGTAGTAGTAGTAGTAGTTGTTGTTGTTGTTGTTCCTGTTGTTGTTGTTGTTGTTCCTGTTGTTGTTGTTGTTGTTGTTGTTGTTGTTGTTGTTGTTGTTGTTGTTGTTGTTGTTGTTGTTGTTGTTGTTGTTGTTGTTGTTGTTGAAAGCGTCATCCTTTGGCTGTGCACATTTTCCTTCGCAACATACGTTTTCACCCGCATGCATCAGGACACATTGCCCGATGAAGTCGCGAACTACGACCTTGTGTTTATTCGTCCAATCCCCCAGAAAATAAATCAAAGGCAATATGCTGACTCAGCAACTGCTTTCTGGAATCACTGACAAGCGTCAACCTATGACGCTGTTGCAAGAAGAGGCATGTGCCTTAACGTGGGATCAAGCTTGCGAGTTAACCAGAATGAGAATTGCGCTTCACTGCAAACGAAACAGTCCTGTTCTACCAACTCAACTGAGTTGGCAAAGGTGCAATCCTTTCGACAATTAACAGCCGACAAACCATCTTGCTATTGCTGTGGAGGTGCTTCTTGTTAAGCCAATTTCGCAACCCTTCCCGCACGCAGCCTTAAGTGCAAAAACTGGCGAAATTGGGCACTGCAGTCGATGTTGTCGGTCGTTTGCCATCGCACTTACCAATAACAATGCTACATCTGTAGGCCATGTTGCTCATCCATTTTAAGAAAAGCTTTATTCCATCAAGGCTAGTGCCAACACTTTAAAAAACCTAACAATATCCGTTATTGAGCACAAGTTTCCCTCCGCTGATATTCATTCCTGCTGTGTCATTCCTTACCAGTATAGGTGCTGTTTTACTTGAAATAGAACTACTACTGCAGTTCGCTACTTATTCCGGCAGATTTTGCAACCAACTTCGCATTCTTTTTGGAGTTATAGTAAAATCACCTTTACCATATTGGGATTCATTATCGTGCCTTCACAACTGCCTACGGGAGCTGCGGACATTACAGTAATCATTTATTCAGACTACAGATGACCCTTATTTGGAAAGAACGCCGTTGGCTTTGCAAGTAGTACCATCTTCCAGGATGTCTTCAATAGCGAAATGGAGTGGGAAGATTGATGCACGGCAGCCCTGTCTCACGCCATTTGTGATACAAAGGGCGGCGAAGTTAATTGTACACCCGCATTTGGCCTGAGGTTTGAGAGTAGTTGGCTCGAGGTATGTTGACGTACTTCTCTGGCACTCCCCTTCTCAAGTGATAGCTCCAGAGAGCACCCCATCCACCTGAGTCAAACGCGGTTCATAAGTCTAAGAAGACAGTGATCGTTGGCCAGCCGAATGTTTGACGGTGATCGAGTATTTGGCGGAATGTAATGATGTTATCGACTCAACTCCGACCTTAGCGGAACCCTAGTTGCTCCGCGTATATTCTGTTTGTGCACCAGTCTGAGCCTCTTTAAAAACACGGCGGCGGGCACTTTGGATGCAATGCAGATGAGACTGATCCCTCGGTGGGTAGCGCAGTCCCACTGGGCACCCTCTTTAATGCGGGCATGATATCCGCTAGACTCTAATCGGACGGGATTGCTTCATGACTCAACCTTTTTTATGAGGAAAGTTATCTCCCTAGCAAGTTGTTGACCTCCATCTTTAAAAGGAGCCGGTGGGATTTCGTCCTGGCCATGAACCTTATAGCGCATTAGGAAGCGAAGTTTATGAATCACCTCAGCCTCCGAAGGTGAAGCGTCTACACACCACGGTACACTACGGCTTCCCGAATGAGGGACCACAGGTGCTGCAGGCCAGTTAAACTACTGCTCAAAGTGCTCATCGCAACGCACAAGTCAACGTTGATGGCAGCGCATTTGCTCTCCATTGCTTTCGCACAAAATATCGCTTACAGTTGTCCTTTTGCTGCCAACAGATCGGATCAAAAAGAAAAGCTTTCGAAAATCCCTCGAGTTGGCCGCCTGCTCCATGTTAACGACCCGTTGCATCCACCAGGCCTCGCGATTCTTCTGAAGAAGCTGTAGGGTTAGTTGTCCTGCGAAGTTACTGGTACTGAACACTGGCTGGAAATGCCCGACGAGCTTCGCGAAGTTGGAGGGATCATGCAGAGGTCTAGTAGTTGACAAGGCTACTTGTGAAACCATAGACAAGGGTTGTAGTGTTGTACATAGCGCTGCGGATGTATGCCCAGTGTGTCTAAATGCATAGCATGAGGCGCTTTTAAAGTTTGAGGTCAGCGCATCCTGAAACGCGCTGATGCCGCTTGATGCAGAACGTATGGCCACGTCAACCCATGTCCGGCGACGCCCTTGAAACCCACCAAAAAGTAAAGCAATCTTGGCACACAAAGGCGCTTGATCCGAAGTGTGGTACATACTCCCGATTGATGTGCACTCCTGTGTGCAGCCGCGCCATTAACTACTGATGGCGATGTGGTCAATCTGCATCCATGTCTGACCAGGTTACGTAGGCTTCCAGGATCGCGGAAAGTTAGTACTCGGCAGCAATAGCCCGCGATCGTCGCAAAGCTGAAGTAGGCGATCACCGGTATCTATTATACGAGTGCCACAGCCATGTTAACCACCGAGTCCACGCTCTTCAACTTTAGTCTACTGACCTGTGCGTTTAAGTCCCCTGCAAGTACCACGATGTATGTACTGTGTTTTTCGGAGGTTGGACAGTTGACAGTAGAACTCGTCTTTAACTGTCTCCGGGCCTTAGTCTGTGGGAGCGTATGCTGCTTCAACGAACAACCAAAGTCTGCTGGCTCCACGGCTGGAAGTTCGCATTGTTGTCTCAAGTCGGATAGCGCAGAGTCGACTGTTGACAGGGATGCTGTCGAGTATCGCGGCCTCAGCACGTGTGCTTAACACAATCCCCACGCCGGCAAAACCAGTGGGTTCGGCGATTGCGTCTCCATAGAATCGCAACGTGAAACTACCAGTGAAACTTGCAGACGGTGAAACCAGTCATAACGTTTTACTAGCGTCTAATAACTAAGTTTCAGTGAGGCAGCAGACATCGGGGGCAGTAGTCTCAAGTGTGCGGGCAAGGACTGCTTGTGATCCGATCTGCATCAGCGTCCGAACGTTAAAGCTGTCCAGCTTGAATTGGGAACGGGTCGGTAGAAAAGATTTGGCAGTACTACATGGCGGCGCACCCTTGGGACTAAATTCCTCCGTATGCCGAGAACACTCGCCTAAGACAGCACCATGTCGTGGACTCGAAAACGGAGGGGGATTACCAAGGATGTTGGGATTGAACAAACGTGGAATATAGTAACTAAACTGTGGTGCGGTAGAGCGCGATATAGCATGTTCGGCCGCCGGCACCTTGGCCGAGGAAAGCGTTGGCAAAGAGCAGAGAGACTTGAAGTCGTTACAGCATTGGTACTTTTGTTGTGTGGACATGGTACTTCCCGGTTGACCAGGCCGAGGAGGAAGGTTGACTTAGGGAACCCCACCAGGAACCTTCGGTATAAAGACATGACCTGCAAGGCAGCGGGGCGATTGACGCATATCGTATACCGGCTTTAATGGTTTCCTTTGATATGGCTGGCATTCAAAGTATGACGTAATGCCACAGAACTGGAACGATATGCAACCAGTATTGACAGTTAATCAAATACCGGTAGTTGGTTTCCATCGACTTACTTATTTGGACAGATGCATAAGCCATGAGCTTAACACGCGCATTACTAATTCTCATCTTTGTTTTCAAAGCCTCCGACACGTTTCGTAGTGATGACCACTTCCCTGGCCTGGCAAACAGGAGATCGATGTAATACCACGGATGGAACTTGTTTAAATTGCATTTTGTAACGGTTTCTGTCCGGGTTACATGCTGTGCTACTTCGAACTGCTAACATGACCCTTGTTCTTTCCATACCGATGCTGATGGAGGTTTTTGTCTGTTGTACTTGTGGTGACCGGTGCGATGACTGCTGCTAGTCTTACCAGCAGAGGTTCCAGCGTCGCGTATGTTGGCCGACAAGCCATTGCACGGGAGCAATTAGATGGAAACGCAATGTGCAAGATATCCGGGTACTTTTGTTCCACTTATGTTGGCAGCCGAAGGAAACGTTTGATACGTCTATCGATGAAGTTCATAAGAATGCGGCGCTAACTTGCCAAGATCCAAATTGACGCACGTGTTCCAGTAGGAGCGATAGTGTAGCATTGAACTGTGCCACACGAAATATATGTAGATGTGACCTATTTAAGTCCATTGTTGGCCAACTACGGGGGAACACTAAGGTTCAGCTCGAAGCTCACTGTTCTTGAGGTGCGTGCGCACAACTGCAACAATAACTTGCGGTGGTTCCTGAGTTCACGTGAATCCAGTTATTCAACAGTGACTCAGCTTTCGAATTGCGAACGGTGCCCGCTCAAATTTGATCTATGGTTGATTCATCATCGTCTCCGAAAGCGTGCGACAAAACAGCATGGGCGCAATTAGTCGGGTAACCTCGTGACTGTCAATGTTCCGACATACATGAACGCAAGCACGTCGACATTATGAATACCCGGTGTGCGAGCACGTGCAGCCAGTTGATCTTTCTGTCTCATTGTGCGACTGTTGGACGTTGGCTAAAAAATAGGACGTGATAACACAAATAGGTGGTGTCCTAATAATACCACCGGAATGTGGCTGCAGATGAGCGAACTGCAATAATACTGACATCTATTCCATCGGGCATTGTTATCCGGCTGTCCAGGCTGCATTGTTCGCCGACTGCTTATTTGGCTGCCACAAGATTACTTTCCACTTTACTCTTTTTGAACCCAATTGCTAGTGACCTCCTTTCGTACACATTAACAGAATCGGGTCCCTTCTGTTGCTAGATTTGATGAAATCTATCTCCCAACTATGTGGTGTTTCATAATTGTTCACTGATCCGGAATTTGAATCCAGGATATCAGCAGCTGTAATTAATGCACTTGACCGCTATCATTTGAGTAGTCGCGTCTAACAAATCATCGCGGTTTTCCACGCATGATTCATTTGTGACATTACGTTTTCTGCTTTCTGTTGCAGATCTTCGTCCCTTTAAATGCGAACACTGTGGTGCATCGTTTCTTCTGAATGGCGGCTTGCAAACGCACATCAAATTTATTCACACGAGTTAGTGTATATCTGAAACTGTTGTTTTATTTTGATTTTATCACATGGGTTGCACCATTGCTGATGACGCTACCTGGTTATCGTCTAGTCAGCCATGTTGGCTGTAACGCCTCTGTTTCGGAACGTGTCTACTGCAGAGGATTTTCAATTTCCATCAACCTACGTGATTTGAAGCGATTGCGCGCCTTGCATCGCTTGGTTCACACGTGCTGTTGTTGAATTTTGTTGAGGTCCTGGTTTATGAACACTTCAACGCTTACTTCATTTTAAATGACAGTGGAAATTGGGATTGCTTGTTGTGCTCAATTCCCACCATTGTTGCACCTAGCAAAACAATGTCCATTCATAAGCCCTTCTAGTGAGTTGTCCCTTTGGAACATGTGTCGTGTGGTTGTGGACGCAGTAGGCACCAATGTGTGTTGCCTGTGTTCGAGTCCCAGTTTCGTCATCTCTCAGCCTTCATGATGAATTTGTTCGCGAAACTAGTCTTGGAATACAGTGTTGGGGGTAGGTGCCAACAAGCTTTTGGAAACAACAAATAAACTTTAACTTTCACGTGGCCCTAGCCATCGAGCACTCGATCTTAAAATCCGCATGAAACAACTGGCGAATTGGGCTCTATGTCATACGCTTGGCTGCAGACAACATTTTGCACATTGTAGTCTACAACACCCTTCTCTCGAACAGGCTGTGGAGTGAGACACCAGACACCATTGACTCGGTGCTCTACTTTTTTGACTCCCACGTCATTGGCGTATAAATCTTTGAATTGAGCGCGCAGGCATACACGTGACCTTGGCTTGGCTTGTCAGCATCCAGACAATAAGCGAGTAAGATAATAAATAAATAAATCGCCAGCTGTACGCCGTAACGGCGCTTCACTGCTACGCGACCACCACCAGGCGCGCGTGGGCTGAGTATACCGCGAGGACGCCCGCCCCAACGCGGATTCGAACCGGTGACCTTATAGTTGCGAATCAGCCGCGCATACCACTCAGTCACCGGCCGACCAACGTGGGAGTGGGGTATGTATTTTCCCCAACCAAATGTGGCTTGCTAGAAGCTTGACAGGTGTCCGTGTTTGCCGTCACCATTACGCGCAGCGTACTGCAGCAAATAGTAGCTTATCTCGGGAGTTGCATCTTAGGCAGCGGCTTTGTTTGTAGTACCACAGCTGCGATTCGCGGTCTCCGGTTGATTTTTCCTAGCTGTGTTAACGACGGAATTTCCTGTTATACTTCTTCACACATTGGAATTAGTCCGTAAAAATTACGATATCGTCTATTTTCATTACTGATTTTGAATTTTTCGACCACAAATACCTGTTTTATCTCTGTTTAACTTTAGAGATTTTACTATCGCTTTATGCCTTACAATAGGTCACCATCTTGGTCTCGGATTTTTCAAAATGCCGAAACAGTCATCTTGTTTTGTGCCTATACCATGGTTGTCGAAAGTCGAGCAAATGCGCTCACATGTATTCTGTGTCACATTAAATTCCGCATTTCATGCTTTGGATTATCGATTGAACATTTACGGCGTTTCGTGAAATCTACCATACTTTCGTTCACCTTTTGTGCACGAATTTCCAAAACGAGAAATAGCCGGAAAAAGTAGAGCAGAATCGCGTCGTCTGGTATAATGAATCATTCCGTTGTCAGCTGCTCCGTCTGTTTGGCCCAACAAGTGAGCCCGATGCTCTTCCAGGTTTCACATAAGCTTTCCAGCTCTTCCCATGCAAACTCACAAGCACTAATTCCATGGTTGCGTGCAGCCCATTTCCACTTGTTACCAACCTTTACTTGTGTTATATCCTCCGGGCACAGCTCTCCCGATGTGAATCTGAATACACGTGGAAAGTACAAGGATAGAAAAAGCGGAAATATGCAGAGTTCAGCCGCTGCAGATCAATTGCAGGGCGTAGATCACATGAACCTGGGGAAAATCCTCCCTCTGCACCTTCAAACTTGACCCACCACCAGTGGCCTTTTAACCCCGTGATCTTCCCCGCGCCTGATTTCAGTTATCCAACTAACCAGATGACATCGAGTTTTTATCGAGCTTACTTGATATACTCCTTTACGTGAGTGCGTGTTAATAGAGCTTGCTCCTAGCAGCCTTCGGTTCTGATCCACCTTCGCTAGCAGCCTGGAACACTTCAACTCTGACGCTACCCGAAGCCTATTGGCCAACCCATGAGAACGGGCTTATCATGACGTTTCACCTTGAACGCTATCAATGAGGATGATGTATGTAGTAGCTTGCCAGCGTGCACAATATTTAGACAACCAACAGTTGCATTTGATAGTTGCTGAAGTCCAGAAAATTCCAGCTAAGTCATTCTCTTATGAGCCATATATTTGGCCCCGGTATTTGCTTATATGTACTGCGTGCCGGACGTTCAATGCAGTTTTCTCCTGATCTATTTATCTTCTATTCTAAGAAGCCTGTCGGTCAGCTTGCGCAATTGGAGCAGGTTATAAGTACAGTCAGTGCAAACCACAATAGATCTTGGCGACGGAGGTGAACTACATCAGGTTGTCAATCTCATTCTAAGATATTAAAGCCATTTTGTCCCAACAATAGCAATCTGATGTCGCACAGCTGCAGATGGTTAGATCTCTCACGCGAACACTATTTCTTCAGCCCACAGTCATCCAGATCACTGGGGAGCATTCCGCGGCTCAATGACCGATAACGTAAGTGAGTTCACTTTTGGTTATCTATGGTGGGGGGTCATGAGAAATGTGAAGGTTTAAAAAGCTGCGACGTTTGAATAAAGGTTGAGAATTCCTGATCTACACAACGAATCGTATCCCTGCTCAGTCGGTTAACCCCCTGCTTTCACTGTCCAGCCGTCCACACTTCGTATACTTCTTGACATGTATTTGCGAGGCCGAATACCTGGACATAACAAACTACCATAGAAAGTTAGGGTCGCGGAGCTCATAACGGTGTGGGTTACTAAGCACGTCTCGCAGACGACTGCGTTTGCCATCATGAATGCGCAGTTAGTGAAGCGAATTGTAGTTTCATAAAAATAACCAGCTTCATCAATCGCATGCCATTTGCCGCCTTACAGCCGCTATGTAGACCCCGTGTTTGTCTTTAGTGTTATCTATTCCTCAATGAACCCAACTTTACGATAAGCAGAAATCGTGCCTATCAAACAATTTGGCCATCTCTGTGTGTGCAGAGAGACCCATTTGTGACACTGCTTCTGCCGTGTTAGTGGACTAGGAACAGGTGACAAGGTGACGTATCTGTGTGGTCAATTTGTCATTTTAATTACGATCATATCGTGGTGATCTAAATTCACACTTGCAAATGTGCATAGAATTATCGCGAACTTAAATCGTACGACATTTGTGTTAACTTTATTGCGAGTAACTAGGCTATGTTCTCCAGATGGTCCTTTGGCGAAAATTATCAACGGGTTTGACATTGATGGACTATTGGAAATCTGTGAGGCGAGTACCTTTGTTAGGTGCAAATTTCGCCGATTGGTGCCTTCGGAAATTGTAGCCTGAAACCAGCTAGATGATTTGAGGAGCCTACACGGTTAGATCTTTGTCAGAAGAGCTACATTGTCTTCTGCCTATTCATTTTATTAAGGGTTGTTACTAGCCGGAACGCTTGATTGGGATCTTTTCGTGCATCTCTGGGCGTTTGTTCTAATACATCACTTTGACTGTTAGCAGTCGTTTATGGTGTTTTACCACAATTCAGTCCTGAGATTGACACTATCAGTTATCCCTCGTGGAACGCGTCTGATTGGTGCCTTGCATGATAGCGCATTTATTGTGGTTGACTCATTTCATCGTTTTCAGTGGCCTGGTTGTTTTTGGTTGCTAAAATTTCACCGACTATTTTGTGGTTGTTTTCCCTGCATGATTTGTCTGCACCTAACAACCTTCTTCTCCATTACCTAGTTGAGCGCCCCCATACATGTGAGCTCTGTGGCAAATCATTTGCTGAGAAGCGTGGCTTATTAAAACATGTCAAATCTGTTCATTTTGGTGAGTTATTGCCCCATTGTGTCATTTTTATTTGTTGTACTACTCTGATCCACTATGTCGCATATCTTTGGTCCAGCAAACAGTACACTACGTTTCTCATGTGATAGTATTCACTAACCAGGGACAAGTTATTTCGTAGGATGTTCCATTTTCCACATCAGCTACGGTCTCTGTGGCCGGGCTGATGGAGATCCACTTCATAATGATTCAGGGTCCTATTTGGGTTTGTGTATCGCGTTTTATTCACCCAGCGATAACTCCATCCGAACCAACGCTGACTCTTCAACCATTATGGTGCGCGTTGTTCGCAGACCTCAGTGATGGAATATTTTTGGCTCCAGCCAACATTCTTACCGTCCCGATTGTAGTTCCACATTTCCGTTATGTCTACTGTAGTGTTGTATGGTAGTGATTCGTGAAACTCGACTGTAGTATAGCCTACCCACGCCCTTTAGAGACTGATGTCTGTTGGACCATTGGGCCCATGTTTGGAAATCGGCAAGGTGAAAGTTGTATGAATTAGTTGCCCTGCCCTTTAAATAGCGAAATGGCACGATGACGCCACAATTGTCTCGAGTTTGCAAACAGCGATCCGGTTTTGCCGATTAGAGAACACATTTCTCTGCTATAGTACTGTCGACAGAAATACAGCTCCCTAGGTAGACAAAACTATCCTAGTTTTAGGGCTGTATGTTTTTTGTTGGTTAGCTGAGGAATGCTTGTCTGTCATTCCTTTCCTGGTACAGTACACTTTGAGGGCGCAAAGTAAATATCGTATCTGGACGCTTCTGTCACTAGTCGGTCAAGGTTCGATTGCATGGGATGAAAGTCGCTACCGAGTAAGGCGTTTGTTGGTTGCGCGATTACCAAGCAGGGGTTAGGACCAAAACCCTGCAGTAGCTTTAGAGCTCACTTCAGAAAATCTTCGATAGCACTGTTGAGGAGAAACAGACACATAAGAGATCCCTATCAGACACTACTTATGACAGGGAAACGTGTAAAAAGCTTGCGGTTGTCTTTCACTTTGCCTGAAATATAGTGCTAAGCTGCTCGAATTGTGTCAGCCTGAATGTTCAGGAAAGCAAGTATGGTGCGACTGATAGTGGCGACGATGTTCGAAACCTTGGCGGAGCGTTAGAGCGTACAATATTTATTTATTTGATTCTTTTATCCATACCTCTCCGACCTGGGCGAAAACTGTTCTGTGTCTCCAATTGTCGTGTCTCACTCGTTGGGACTTGTCTGCGAAGCATGATGGATGGAGCCGATGTGAAATCCATTCCTCTATGATTGTTGCATAAAGTTCGGGAACCATTTTTGGTAGCTTGGGTCATTTGCTGACTCTCTCTAAGATGAATTGTGCTTTTCCTCCTTGCCAGATCTACGTGAATATGGTTGTTGGCTGATTGGTAACTGTTTCCCACAGTAATTGAACAGTTTTGAAGAAAATCGTCCGAGCGTTGAGGCGCTTTCTTTGTCGGATCTCAGTACAAACCTCCGCTTCGGCAGGTTGTTCTTCTGACACTTCACATGGCATGCTGCCGGGTGTGCTAGATGCAATGGTGGATGGCGAGGGGCATATGAACATGGATTCGAAATGTTCAGACCATTTGTACATCTTCCACTGCAACTTTTTCATTTGCAACCCGTCCACCTGAGAAAGGACTTTTCAGATATCTACCCTGTGTCCTGTGCTAATAGTGAGTTGGGACAGCTACGGATTATTCCCAATGCGGCCGGGGTCTGCATTTGCAATGTACGTTGGAATCACCAACTTTCCCGACCACTGCGAAAGTTTCCTAGTATTTTTAATGGAAGTGCGGTGGACTTCATTGTGATTCATGTTTAGTGGGGAAGTTCGGTGTTGGTCGAGTTGTACCATGGGCCTTCCAGAGATCCAGTCTCTCGAATGGTAATTAGCTAATCGACAGAATGATTGGCCCGAATTTAGCATTGCATTCTGTAAGAATCTCCGGTGGTGTTCAGCGTCAGTGGGCGAAACACGGGGTAATGTTTTGATGTTTTATCTGTGCCGACTAATCAGTTATCCTGTTCGTACCGAGTCTGCTTTTCAATCGCATAATCCCAAGTTCTGAGACGCAGACAAACGCTAACTCTCCACATTTACCTACATACGGAACGCATTCTGATCCGCAGCATTTGAACGCGCCCTGCAATGTCCAGTTACAATACGTGATGTGTATTCTGTATCTGAGCAGCGACTCATGAAACGACTGACAGAGGTGACATCATCAGTGTTATACCGAGTGGAACAAGATGCGGAAATTAGCGCGAACAGCAACATCATTTTCACTGGCACCTTTTGTTCAGAGTCCGGTAGGCGACCAAATGTGGCATTCCTCTGATTAGCAGCGGTCACGATATCAGTATTCTTCGCCATGCACGGGAAAAACGAGTTCCAACCTACATTTGGTTGGGGCTTCAACCGAAACGAAGGATAGGCGTCTTCAGACGATGTTTGCTGACTCCCATAGGAGTTTCAAGTCGATTTGTGCACATATGGCTGTCCGCTAATACCCAGTCGGATAGTTTGGCTTCATCATGTTTGCTGTGGGCAATATCAACTCGCTGTCGCTATCGACACTAGGTATGCAATCATCGTCGATAGATTCGGGATCAACCCTCGATAGATTCGTTACGAAGCAAACCTGTTCCGAATGGATTGGGCGATCTAGCACCGCCCGTTGTTTGATCTGACGCAGGATGCGGACGTTGAACGAAACTGTGGGAAATAATACACCTGATTTGTTGTACGAGTTACGTGCATCGCTAGCACTGCACGCTCTTGCTCCATAGACAGGGAAGAAGGGCGCCGCAGGGGTAAATACAACTACCGCCAGCCCCAGCGTCTGGATCCAGAGGTCAAATGACTCTTCCTCTCTACCCATTCCAAAAAACGGCTTTTTCTTCTAGGTATCCCACTGACTCAACAGTTTCATCTACAAAGCAGGGATGTCGGCGATCGGGAAAGATTCATATTACGTAGGTTTAGGTGGAAATGTTATCACAATGCGGTTGTGCTGTTTAAACGATTATACGGAGCATGTACGGTGTAATCGCTTGAATGGTCTTGGACACCACTTCCTCCCCAGTATCAGTTCTTCTTGTTATTTTTCTTCTATTACTACTTATTATTATTGACTACTATTAACTACTACTAACCACTACCATTATCTACTATTAATAGTGTGTGTGTTCAATGCGATCCCATAGCAGTAGCTTGCAGTTCCTTCAAACTGTTTTGTAGCTACCCTCGAATGTGCGGCATTTTCAGTGTCAGATTGAGCAGAGGCACAACCACAAGTCTAGGAGTCCGCCCTTTTCGGTTGCTCGCACGATCTTTCATTTTAAAGTTATAACAGTATGCATTATCGAGAATGCGATGTTTTGCGGTGTCAGATGTAACAACTATGAGCCACACCCAACTACTAATCATTCTATGTATTTTCACGAACAGTACTAGCTGCAGTGTCCGCTGTAACAAACCTTAGCTGCACTCGCATTTTGGCCTAATCAACGCAGGGACATACGTTTGAGATAGTGGAATAAGCGAAAATGGGATTTGCGCTGCCAGTTGTGAGGTACACTCAGATCCATGTCCAGCGGTGACAATAGATTATCATCGGGACAAGTAAGCTAGTAAACCTAATTCTCCTAGTGTGCTGGCTTGATGACCGTGAATTTGGCACGGCATTGACAGTTTGGGTAATTGCTGTTGCTTGACGTCCAGAGTGCACATTGTTCGATTGGGGCAAGAGGGTTGGATTGGAATCGAGGGCACTCACAGAGTTGTGATGATAGGTTCCCAAGGTAGGGCGTCAAAATGCATCGTATTCGGGGAACAGGGCACATGGAAACAAATTCATTCCGACTAACACAGCCGCCCTGAGACCGCAATAAGTCCATCAGCAATGACAAACCGACAAAGGCGTTTTGCTTATCAATGAGGTGATGAAAGTTCAACGAGGATGGATGTCTTTGGAGTAGTCATTCGCATAGTGTGGTTGGATCCAAGGGATGAAGTATACGCTCGTTCATATGTGAACGGAACAGGATTCTCAGTTTGTCTCCCCTTGCGTGGCAGTTCGTCCGCGCAGCTGCGACGGTTCCATTTTCCTATGGTTATCAGTCTGTACCAGGTGAGTTACTTTCCCTTTTCTTTATCTCTAACTAGTAGGTGTGTGCCAGAATGTAGAACATCTCATCAGGGACATTGTACTAGAATGAAGTGTAGGCGCTATGCACTCTATTACCCATTGATTTTCCGTTCCGAGATGACCGTACATCAACAGCCGTTTGTGTACACGGCGAATTCTCTAATCTATTCTATTTGTGCTCATGGTTATGCTGCACGATAAACTTTGTGCTCCTATTCTAACAGATTATCGACTCATTTTTGGCTGTTTTCCTCTTGTGCTTCATTTGTGACTATGCACATTCTGTTCCCGAATTCAGCACTGCGCCCCTATACATGCGAACAGTGTGGCAAATCGTTTACTCAGAAGATTCATATGCAAATGCATATCAACTCTATTCATCTGAGTGAGTGTTTATTTGATAGTGTGAACTATGTTTAAATTTACTGCTTGCATTGTGTCGTCGTTGATAATGTCACGCAGCTTCAGTTTGCCCAGCCATATTGCTTGCCGCAGCTCCTTGCTTTGTCGATCTCAGTGGTCTGTGTCGTGCAGTGTTCAATTTTCCAAAACCGGCACTGGTGTACTGGTCTCTTACGGAACAGTCGTACATTTGAAACACACGGTGTTCATCAAACTGAACGCGATTCACTTCTAATTAGTTTGCAACTCAAATTGTGATTTCCTATGTCGCTCCATTCGCACAAATACCATTTCAAGCGAGTGAGCAACGATTCACTGCGCGTTGAAATATCCTCGAGATGCTGTTCTTTGGTTTCTTCAACGCGCTGCAGGACATCGAGAGTCGGCTTCTTCCTGTCATTTTCTGTTAATTTGTTGTGTGTGTTCGTGCCTTCTCTGCTGTAAACCGTGGTGGTGTCCCCTGCCTTGATGTTCTTAAGCTGGGCGACTTCAGCAGCTTCGTGGATGGTTTTGCCGCCAACGAACACAACGTTAGGGAGGATTCCTTTTTGTGACTGACGTTCTCTGGTATCGCCGCGGCCTCGGCGATGCGTTTTGTCGTCACTCATTTTGGTCATTTCATGCGACACAAGACTCAAAGCTAGTCAACGCCTTTCTGATAGTCCGAAACCCCGCATAGGTTCGCCCCCACACCCATCTAACGTACGGGAAAGCTTAAAGAGTAACAAAAGAGACTGGGTCACTGACCTTGATCGGGATGAACGACGCCCATGATCAAGTGCTTGCGTAATCGCCTACTGCTTGTGCAGTGACGATGCTTTCTTGTAAGCACAATGTGGATGGAACAACTTCCAGTCGTCTTACTTCCCTTACATTGTACACAAACTGCAGCTGCAGGTCATCAAAGCTAGACTGGATTTGGTGGAGTCATGCTAACCTGCACTGTTCCAGTACTACATCAGCTGCATAGTTCCGCCAAAACACATACAGAAAATTCGCGTTGGCACGTAGAGGGACGGGGAAAAACTGGGTCGCCAACTATCTGCTTCATCGGTTGCGGTCCCAGTGATCAAATTGTTCAAGATTTACTTCAATATGAATCGCGATCCATGAACTTGCTTTTCTCGGCAAATCCATGCACGACCCAGCTCCTGGGCACTACATAAATTCGCCAACATTGGACAAATGTCCCGGTGTAATTTGTAACATTAGTCAAATAAAACGCAAAAATTGGTCAGAATCACTCGGGAAAGTTGAAGTGTGCGTTGCTAGCACTTGATGTTTCGTAACATTGTACTCCGCATTTAGGTGTCACTCACTTTGATTGGTTCTCTCATGTTAGACACACACAAGTCGGACATGTCAAGTTTGGTGCGCACAGTGCCGAAACCTGCTAGACCGAGGTTGGGAATATATGAACCAGGTGGTTGTAGGTTATCGGATGATACATGATATTTAATGTCTATGGAAATTTCAAGTACACTAAGCGCGCTATGGCTTCCACATGACCAACTACACCGTATTTGCCTGTGTTTCCTTCATAGCTACGGGCTATTCTGTAGGTGTTACATATTGCTACGTCCAATACACGTGCTGTGGAGTTCCTGATTGCGATTAGATATGGCTTAATGTACGTTGATGCCGCACGGATGCGAGGCTCCGGGATGATTTGGGCTACTTCACGATGTAGGGTGTTGGTCAGTTGCTACATTATCTCGACGTGCCTCTTACAGCGAGCGTCGTGGGTTACTGCACAAGACTGCAGGACGTAAGAAAATGTTTCGCTTTGTCCGCAAGTGCCCCAGCCGTGAAGCTCGGTTGGCTTTGGGTGGTCATAACCAGGAGCATTGGGATTTTGTCGATAGCACCCCTGCCCGGAATTGGATTCCTGTGATGTAGAGTCTGGGAAGATTCTCTCTAGGTTTCTTATCCACTTGTGAGACGCTGGGGTCGTAATTACCACCACCCATGAGGCAAGGATCCGTCCACAGACTGTAGCGATAAATTCTTCCTTACTTCTTTCGCGTCACTTTTGTCAAAGATAACTTAACTCCCGATGATAATGGCTTTCATGGCGAGGTGCTAGATGGTAGCTGTTGGAGGTTCCCATATTGCCCAGCTGATACTTGGGTGAGAGAGTTAAAGATGTGCTTCTACACGGTCCTTCGGAAGCAGTCTGATTATACTAGGAAGGTACCGAGCGCCTGGACCATAATCCTCAAGTGATGCGAAAAAGAAAGTATCGCTAGTATTCTGGTGGATTCATAGTCCTTTTCTCAATCTTACCCGGCCTAGATTATCCATCGATTTGAGGGTCTGTCGATGCATCGTTGTCAATGGGTGGCAATGTGTATGACGCTATGTAACATAGGTGTGCGAGTTGTCCGTTGGGCTTGCGAGGGGACTGAGATGTTTCCTGCGGTTGTGCTTTGAGTTGCTTTAGTGGGTTCGACGGGCGTTTACCATTCCAATCAAATGACAATTCAAGTAGCCGGAATTCCTCAGATAGAAGGTATCACGGAGAAGTTGCGCATTGTGTACAATTGGTATTTTTTCCTTTTCTGTTGATCGTGATATCTAATACCATATAATCCTCATCCTCATCATCATTAACACACGTTAGCTGAGGGTGAAAAATAGCTCAGGTAATGTCCGCAATACAAAAGGTAAGAGGCTAAATCCATTACAAAGAATTCAAAAAGTTGGCAATATGATGTTACATGTTATGTTGCGCGTTTCGCATGCGATCGTAATTGGAGGGATTTATTGATAATCCAAGATGCTGAATATCCTTTCTACTTCAACGTAGTCCTCGGTCCGGGGTGTCTCTGGCGCGAGCAACTGGTACGGCGTTATCTGTGTGAGCGATATTTTTGATTGTACCTGTTAGGGAAACCCACTAAATGTCATATGATGTACTAATGCTTCCTCAGTGATTGTGATGAAAGGCAAGTGGAAAGTTGGTCTCCGTGGCTTACCCAACGCTGTTGATGAGTGAGATTCTGAGAGCATAACAACACTTCATATGATGTGGAAAAAGATGAGACACCGAACGAGAAGGATACGTGAAGCAGCGAAGCGTAAGAGATGGAATCAAAGGCTTTTGAAATGTTAAGAAAAACAATGGTTAAATATCTGGGGGCAGAGTGTAATATCGTGGGGGACTTCAACGCGACCATCCTTACGAACAAAACCAAATTGAAGACGGTCAGCTGGGAATGCAGGATTTCAGCCAACGAATAGAATCCGATGAAGATGACCACCGAAAACTGAATTTGTTGAAATTAGGCGAAAGTCTTCAGGGCGAGAATAATTAGGAATGTTTGGAAACAAACTGGCCACGTTTCTGTTAGGAAAGGGCGAACAAGCCAATAAGCAATTTATAAAAGACGTGGTGAAGCTTGGACCCATTCGACTGATTTCCATCGTGTGCCATGGTCTATGCATTGCTCGCATAGCAGAAGTCGCTTCCTCATGGGTTTTACGAAACCCCAGTTAATTTTGACATACTCGTGTAGTGTCCGGTTATCGGGTACTTGGGATTGTGAGAGCACATCCGTCCACAAATCTTTGAAATCCATGATCAACTTTTCATCAGTCATCAATTCAATCTTCCAGCGACCATCGGGTACTGTCGCGATAGCGTCTTCGCAAGTGGTAGAGACGCTGTATGTGACCTCATTGAAATCGCCCGTCACTGCCTGCTGTTAGAGACTGTAAATGCCCCTTGTCTGCCCTTACTGGTCGCCATATGTGAGTAGAGCACACTCTTTCCATTCGGTTGCTAGAAGCTGTCTTAGATTGTCCGGTTTACAGGTCTTCAGTGTCTTTTCGCAAGTTAGCTGCACATTGTCTAGTTTGTAACGTGCATTGGGCCAGTGTTCCTCTCTCTTCCGCCAGAAGATGTTGAAGGTCAACGTGATCACCTATGGTTTCCGTATCTATGTATCAGGTATCTGTAGCGTGTTTCTCCTCTGGGTGATGAAGTAGTGGGCTGTCGCCAGTCTTTGTCGTGGTAATGTATGTTGGGTCTGCTGTTATTCGACGTGACTATAGAGTCTTCTTGACTTCTTCATAGATGGGAAGCACCTCGGGAGAGGGGTGAAATCGGACCTGTGAAGTTCAAATGGAATGGTGGGTGGACTTCCGCCCTAGGGTAGTGAGGGGAACTCAGCGACTGGCTGAGGATAGATAGTGAGGCGGCGAGTGTAACTGAAATACCTGAGCATCTATAGAGACATTCCCGTGCTCCCATAATGTCCCGACTGAGATCTTACAATCGTTTTTAAGGCAGTCGTTTGATCCTTAGGGAGATCGGATGTGGAGCTGATTGCTCAGCTGCGTAAGATTGGGGGCGGAGGGTGCCATCTCCGTTGTGCAGACCAGAAGCGTCTCGTTCTCTAGCACAGTCAGTTGCCCTGGTGATTTGGTAGCTGCTCCGGACCGTCAGGGTTGTAAGCATCCGCTACTGAGACAAACCTCTTTTGCTTTTGAACGTTTCGCTGCATGTTAATCGTGTATACTCTGTCCAGTTGACGATGACAATGTTGGCCAAAATCACCTTACGTTGCGGTGATTGTTAGCTAGGCGTTGACCTATGCCTAAGCTTGTGGAAAAACAGCGCGAGTATACGCCGCAGTAATGCAAGCTTATAGCGTCGGTCCTCAAGTCTGGTAAATTGTTCTCTTGTCGTAATTTAGATGACGATGCACCGGTCGGTGTTGTTATCTTGGTATCAGTCGAGGCGTTTGGCTACTGAGCTGATGCGTTTTGGGGTATCCAGTGAAACAAGGGAATTATGAGATGAATACAATGATGTGTGAAGCGTGGCAAACAATGGCTGGGATAAATATCGACAATGGCTGAGTCGTTAGTGATTATTGAACGAGAGCCAGCTGGTCTGCTGTCCATGAAATTCAGAACGGCTGGCATAGGGAGACAGGCCGAGACCTGCACCGCTGGCTGTTCGTAAGTCCCAATCCT